ATTTGGCTTTTTCTAACTTCAGATATATAAGGAATTGGAGGACACCCGATTCTAACTTATTTCTAAACTCAAATTTACTTTGCAAAACCTAATTTTGAGAGTCAAATGTTCTAGTGTGTATTACTTGATGAAATATATTAAAAATCTTGAGATAAATCTCGGGAAGTTTCAGCCAACCTAAGTCAAGCCTACAGGTTCTTCTAGCACACATTCTTGACATCCAATAAAGTGGCCACGTATGGGGTTAGTCACAGGTTTTATCCCTGTGAAACAGGAAAGGAGGGTTGAAGGCTTAAGTATAAGATGGAATAAATGATTTGGGAATGCTTTTAGTCTAGTAAAACAAAGATTTGGGCATAACATATTGGGAAACTATTTCATGCTATTTTGATTACAGTTAAAGTTCTCTTAATCAAACTTCACTTGCAATTCTCCAGCTTCTGTATAACACTTCCCAGTGGATCCTGCAGCATATTGAATGCTCAACTTTTCTTTAGTAACCTCAGTCATCTCTGCTATTTATGCTAGTTACATAAGTTAAATTGTATGTAAGCCAAATGATATGAATTTGTATTCTTTCTTTTCCCCATTCAAAGGTATGCTTTTATTTATTTTTTAAGATTAGTGAAGTGCAGTAGTGAGAGTGGGGAAAAGAGTAGAATGAAGAGTTGATCTGTAACCGACTGTGAACAATCAGTTGAGACGACTATCTTTGGACCAGTTTTTTTTTCTTTTTTTTAGCTTTCCACTTCATCTATTTCATCTTTTGCTCTATCTCCTGACCACACAGGTGCTGGATCCTCTTTGTATGCCATCAAGTTACCTGGGTACCTGCATCTTCTGACCATGCACAATACCATAGTCTTCCATCTCTTATTAATACAGAATGGGCTTGCAAGTATTGGGACTCCCTCCAAATTCCCTACTCCTTAATGAGGATGGGAAACAAATCCTTAGAAAACTATGCACTAGGTCTGACCACTGACGAACAACTGCAAGAAAAACAACTTTGAAAATTTCTTTATTATAGACATTTCAGAACCATTTAAATCAACAGACAATGAAATTTTTAGACATAACATATTGTGTTTATCTTGAGGTACACACTGGGCCCATTAGATAATGTTCTGGAAAGTACTGCAACTGTTAACTGGTAGCTAACAACCCAAATTTGCCAAGCAAAGAAACTGTAAAGATGACTACAAAATTCTTTGAATACACCATTTCCATTTAAGATAAACTCTCGAAATTCTTAATTGAATTCAATTTTTAGGCTTAGCTTAAACATTTTAAATGAAACTTAATATGAGTAGGAGAGAAGGTTTATAGCTAAGAAATTATCTGAGCCCTACTATATGAGATTGTAAACAAAGGAAATTTGCAATCTGATAAGCTCTATTACAAAATTTATAGCCTAAAAATTAGAGCAGCAAAATTACAGAAGATATTTGTATATAGTTTAAACTGAAATCATGTTTATTCCTTGTTCCTGGCTATCACAATGAGACAAATTTTAAAACACTAAGTTTTGAAGACTAAACAATGTGATTTAACATGATGTGACCATGAGAATCCCATATTAAAATCCCACAATCTAAAAGCTCTACTTCCCGTAATTTGCACTCTAGGCCTTTTATTCTTCTTGCTCAAGCAGCCTGATGCCTTTAGGTAACTTGAAAGATGGTGGAAATTGATATAAGAGGCATGTTTCTGAAAGCCCCCTATGTCCAACAACACATTTAACTTTCCTGGTAGACAGAAACTAAAATTTCCTTTTAACAGTTCACTAGGTTCTTTGGAGGACCGTTTTCCAGTTTATTATTCAAAATGTTAATTTTATATTTGCTAGGCACGACGAATAGTAATTTATACAAAGTATTTAGAAAATGAAGGACCCTCTATCCTTCCATACCCCACCCCCCACCCCTCGACTTCTCAGGGAGCTAATATGGATAACATGCAGGTGGCTGTGGAATGTGAGCAGAGGCTGTTTTTGCATGTGTCTGAAAACAGTTGGAATGGACTGTCATAATATTTCCCATAAGATTGTTGAATTTTGACACGAGGCAAGAATAAACACTGCAATGTAGCTGAATGGGCAGTTCGCTGCAACTTCATAAACTGGAGTGATATATGTTGGTTGAAAGAATGTAAGTAAATTTCACAGTTTATAAAGTTTAGCAGCTCAACTTAAAGAAGAGAAAACTTGCAAGATTAATCTGTGAGTGTTTGAATTCTGCCTCCCAACATGAATTAGGTCCACATTATACATTTTAGCTGCTTGGCTTGGTTTATTGCTGATTTTCTTTTCTGATGGGGGCCACGATGATTTTCGCCATGAATCTAAGGACCCAAAAGGGTCTTGTTTAGACAGACACTTCCTCTTGTTTGATTATAGGGGAACTGCCAGAGGAGATAAGATGGTAAGTCTTGACTTGGTTGGTTAGAAAGTTCTGTGTGTGGATCTCTGGGCATTGCTTTTCACTGTAGAATCGCAGCTCTCGGAAGGGAAGGGCTGCCTCCTTATTACCCCTGCTTGCATATCTTGTTATGATTCTCTCGGAGCTATGAATGCTTTATCTAGTCAGGGTGCCAAGGTCCTTCACAGACAGGTACTCAGCTTAGGAATGGCAATTGCATTTATTTGTGGCTTCTAAAGATGACAGAAGACATTTATTACAATTAAAAGAATTCCAAGTCAGTAAAACACCACCACCACCACCACCACCACCACCACCACCACCAGGCAGTGAGAGAGATACTTTGTGTCCCACACGTTCCAAGTTTTAGTGATCTTGGGGTGTTACTTTTGTACCTCTTACTGGAGGTTAACATTTTAAAGACAGGGCACACATAACTCTCCATATACCCAGCTGCCCAGAGAGTTCATGTCTTTCTTGCCCACAAATACATAGTCTTAGCAACTGAGATTTCAAATATAAACAATATGATCTCTAAGAGGGCAGGGGCTGTGTCTTTTACTCAGCAGTGTAGAGTGATATTAGAATGTTTCATGCTAAGTGAATCAAAGGCCACAGTCCTTGCTTTCAAGGAGTCTCCACACTGCCAATCAATATAAACTTGACAAAAATATGCCAAGTTCAAAACAAAAAGTATTTAAAACCCTATTTTGTGTAAAGTTTTTACAAAAGAAAAAAAAACGCCATAAGGAGTCAGTTGTTTATGTGGGCAACCTTTATAGTAAACCCAAGCCAACCCTGTTCCTTCTTCCTGAGTTTGAGAATTGTGTATGAGTGTTAAGTGTTTTAAAATGGATGGATTCAGCTAGGTTTGTCAAGGAATGCTTGCAGCTTTGCAACTGCATCTTGTATGTTTTTATTTTAAAAAGAAGTTCTGAGAGGTTTACTTTACTAAGGGAGGCAGTCCTCCTCACACAGGATGCTCTCAGAACACGAAAGTCTCGTGGGTCTCATGTCCTATGAGTGCGGTACCAGACAGTTACTCATCGGCTTGTCAGTGACTTTTGATGAGGTGCTCCAGTATGAGAATTTTACAGGGTACTCTTTTTACCTACAGTATTTACATTTTGGGAGATTTCCATTGATAGGAGAAAAAAATGCTCTTTCTTTTTGATAAAGGAGATCTAAGATGGAAAATTAGAATAGGTTATCAATTCACCTCAACTCCAAACCATGATATGGATTAAAAATATCTTTCCAAGATATTTTTAATAAAGAAATAAAGATACGTTTCACAGGTCTATAAAACTAGAGTGGTGGGTCTTGTCTTTCAATTTTTTTTTTTTTTTCATTTTGGTAGCAGGAATAGGAGATGGTAACATATAGGCCCATCCTGCAAGTCATGCTGACGCCTCGCTGGTTGACCCCCTATTCCAGAGGGCACTGTGTGCACCTCAGTCATTTGCTGTTCACACATCTGGAATCTGGGGCCAGACTCTGGGGTGTGGGAGAGTAGATGATGCCTTGCTCCAAGAACTAACACAGTCCTACGATATATTCTCTAAAAATGTCAAGAATAATGATGACGCCATTATATTTTGGAATATTTAATCATATTTAGCAAAAATTCTCAGACTAATGTCCTGGAATTCTTGGAATAAAAGTATGGTAAAAATGTATTTTCTTTGAAAGAGAGGGAAGAAGTGGTTGATGAAATAAACAAGTCCTCTTATTGGTATTTAAAAAATACTCAACATATGTAGCATACACAATAAAGCCTGGTGTGTCTGATTTCTGAGCCCTCGTAAAGCATGAAGCAGGTTGAGAAACCTAATGTGCTCTGACAAATGTTCTTCAGACTTCTCGCCATCAGACACCAGGGGAAAGAGACCCTCAAACCCGAGAATTAGAATTCAACAGAAACTGTCATTTCCCCAGATGTCATGGGAGTATTACATGCAAAAACCAGCCTTGCAGTGGGCTTAAACTCAAACTGAATTCTTCAACACAGGACTCTTTACTGATTTGTTCTAAGTTTTCAGTGAACCCAAATAAGACTGAGCTTCAAGTGACAGGGTTCTGAGAATCTTTGGAGTCATTCTGTCCACTATTCCTAAGAGAATCAACGTAGTTAACAGTCCCAAAACCTCAACGTATTATTTAAAAGTGAACAGATGTTATCTAAATATCATAATCAAAATTATGTGTAAAACATATATGGGTGTGTTGTGTATACAACTATACACATTTATATATGTATATTCTTTTTTCTCTGCTCAATAAAATTAGCAGCAGTTACAGATAAATTATTGTGGTCATGATTTGTGTGATTTCTAAGGATAACATATATCCCTTTATCAACACATGACTTTTGGAAAATGCCTTGTGATAAAAAGATCCCCACCAAGCATATAACATTAAAGTGTCAATTCATATCATTAACATTTTCAGGCACAAGAGTAAAACAATTAGCATGAAGCAATCCGAATGACAGAGCACAGAACATAGTTAATCGTCTAAAGTCAACCCTCCTGAAAGAAGGGAATTGTTGTTCAAAAGCTTTTTTTTTTTTTTTTTTTTAGATTTTTATGTCTTTCAGCTTTGGCTATTTTGTAATAAATATCATACCTTCTCGCATAAACCTACTTGGGTAAGAATGATTTCTCTGCATATGCCTTTTTTTCTTTTAGCAGCTGCTGAGTGTTTGTTGAGTGACGTACAAGGCACACCTCCAAGTGTTCTGTACAGCATTTTTATTGATGTACAAAATAGCCTGTTCACCATTCAAAAACATAATCTGCATAGTAAGAGTTTCTCTTATCCCTATTTACAGAGAAGGTTTTTAGTGCAAAAACATGAAATTGTGTCCCAGCCCACCCCTTCTAGCACACACATTGATCAGTTTTGTTCCATGCTGGCTGGAGTTATTTGGCTATATTTTGGGCCTCCAGCCATTAATGAATTGCATTATCTTCTTCACCTGAAGTTTGCTCAGTTTGAAATCCTCTGAGAGGATTTCTTCTGTTAGCTGAACAAGCAGGTTCCCATCAATCTTTTCGGTAACAAAGAATGATATGACATCTTCGGACAAACCAATGAACCGTAGTGACTTGGATACTTCCTCTATGGAGAGTCCTGATAGGTCAGCAGGTGGCTGCCAAGGGGAACCATCGCCACAGGATCGGGGGGCCAGCTGGAGGTGGAGCGGAGATGAGAAAGGGTAGGAGGCAGAGAAGGTGTCCGGCATGCCCTTTTTAACAAAATACTGGTCCTCAGAGAGATCTGGTGACCCAGACTTGGGGTCTTCCTCAGCACCATCAATTTTCAGAGGCAAAGGAGATATTTCGGAGGCAGCCTTCTCTTCCACTAGTTTTGGGGCCCTGGGTGGTAAGGCAGGGCATGAAGTACTCTGCTTTGTCACACCAGCTGCAAGAGTTTTCATGTCTGTGCTCTCCAGAGAGTAGCTGGCTGACTTGGGACAACCAGAGATGCTGCTACTGAAGTCTACAGTGGCTGAGCTAGGGGGGCTGGCCAAGAGCTCACAGCCGTCAAAATCAAAAGGTGCTGGGCAGTTTCTCTTTGGTGTGCCTGGCGTCTTTTGTCTGGGATAACTATAACTCCTGCTTGGATCCAGCAGGAAGTCGCTCCTGGTCTGGCTCTCTGAGGCTCCTGAATAATGGTTAGGCCACGAGAGCCGAGAGGACACAGCTTCAGCAGAAGGACTTCCAAACGGGGATTTCAGGTCCACAGAATCAGTTTTCACTCGGTTACATGGATAGCAGGAAACAGGAGCGCTTTCACAAGGACTTGTGTCAGTTTTAGTGACGCTGCTTAAAAGTAAAACACAGAAAGAGAAATCTTTAAAAGAAAAAAGCCAAATCCCAAGGCTTTCATTATTTATAGATGTTACTGCTGAGTAGAAAAGTGCAGTCAGAAAAAAAAAACAGCATTTCTTAACATGAATTCAATAAAGTACCTTCTAACTTCACTGAGGTTTTTTAAAAAAGGATCTTTAATAAAATACATTGGTAATTGTGGATATGTACATAATGATTTAACATGCTACAGTGGAGATAGAATAAATATTTCAGCTAGTAAGGAAATCATTGTTAATAGGTGCCTGAGTCTTTATGATGAGGGAAATTCTTAAGTCATGTGTGCGCTTTGCACCAACAGGTGCCATAATTGATGAATGATGTCTGCAGCGAGCAAGGGTAGAGTAAGAGAATAGTAAATGGGTCCGCACGCTTGTCATGCTTGCGTTACAGTGACATGATGGCATCACACCACCCGTGACTCGATTTCCATCCAAAAGTCTGAGGTAGGAGGAAATGCATCCAACAAAATGCTTATCCTTGCCTTAGACTGTTTCTGAACAATCAAGTAACATTAGCACAAGGATTTAAATGTCCAGGGAAAAAATACCTCCAAAGAGAGCTACTTTAAACTGTAACGAGCACATGTGTAGCGGTGGATTCAGCTCTGGGGGGCTATGTTTTAAGAGCAACATGAAACTAGAGTGTGCTCAAAGGTGGGTGAGCAGGCCGGTGAGGGATCTGACAGTGATGTCGGGGGAATAGCAGAGGGAGGCGAGGATGTTTCTTTCGGAGAAGAGAAGACATATCAAAGCCGACTCAGAATTTTCATGAGTTGACAAAGAGATATGGGATGGACCTATTTTTGTTTCTTTAGATGTAAGAAATGATTGAAAGTTACACAGAGATAGATTTCAACTCAATATAATAAAGGTTTTATTTTTAAAAGAAGAATTGGTAGTTGCCAACAATGGAATGAGCCGTATTGCAGACGAAGGAGCTTAGAGCACTGGAAGTATCCGGACAGGAGAAAATGACCACCCAACAGTGATGGTCAAAAGGGGACTCCTGTCTGGATGGAAATTCAGAGTAGATAGCCAAGGGGACCCTTTCCATTTTAGGTCTTGGTCAAACGTGCTGTCTGCTTGTGTCAAAGTCAAAGCAGAAAGAACTAGATGTTGATTTGTGAGAACTGATGGCAGCGCTCAGGTTGTTTCAGGGACAATCTAGTTGGCCTTTACCTCTGAATTTCTCTGATTCATGTGACATCTTTTCTTCCCAAGACATTTGCTCTTCCATCCTAGCTCAAAACCAACAGAGGCCCCATCATGCTCACCCAGTACAATTATTTAAAAAATTAAAAAGCCATTTCCTCTCCCACCACCCTGTCTCAGTTATAGCTACCCTGAAAGTGCTCTCAAGGACCCATGAACTGGCAGATGAGAAGATAAGGGTGTAGTGGGACCTGGCAAGAAGACTTACATGCTGTGCAGCCCTGAAGAATAGTAGGACAAGGTAGGGCTGGGAGAGCGAGTCTGTTGCCGCGCTGGCTTGACTGTGCGAGGTGGGATGGAGGGACTGGTGGACAAAGGCTTTGCGCTTCGGGGTGGAACAGGTGGGGCGTTCAGGAGCCGGCATTCTTCTCTGACCTGGCGCAGAAAAGAACACTCCAGGTTAGCAACAGACTGACAATGCAACTGGGGGGCCAGCTCGATCCTGCAGACTTGCTCAAGTTGCTACTCTTAAACAGTAACAGCAGGGTGGAAGCATGGCAGAGAGAAGATTGAAGTAAACAAGAATGATGGGAAGCACAGAGGCTGCCAGAGAGCAAATCAGGAGCCTGTCACCCACTTGCTGGGACAGAATGATTTTTGAAAGAAACTGCTTGGCAAGTGCTGGATGCTGCTGAAATATAGCAAGTAATATAAAATACAGCAAGTTAAAGTATCTGTGGTTAAAGAGCTACTATGAGGATGGATAAAAAAGAAGTATTTAGAAAATAAGAACATAAGGCATTCACAATCTTAACTTGAGGATTCATCTCTTCTATTAGCTGAATTCAATTTGATCCAAACCTTAGCGAACCCTGGAGCTGGTCCAGGGCTAAAGCTCCTTCTGAAGTCATGTTCAGGGCTTTTTTTTTTTGAGATGGAGTTTTACTTTGTCACCCAGGTTGGAGTGCAGTGGCACAATCTTGGCTTAGCTCACTGTAGTGTTTGCTTCCTGGGCTCAGGTGATCCTCCTGCCTCAGCCTCCCGAGCAGCTGGGACCACAGGTGTGCACCAGTATACCTAATTTTTTGTATTTTTAGTAGAGATGAAGTTTCACCATGTTGCTTAGGCTGCTTCCCAAAGCGTCAGGATTACAGGCATGAGCCACTGTGCCTGGTCAGGACTTCTTCTTCTTTTTTTTTTTTGAGACGGAGTTTCACTCATGTTACCCAGGCTGGAGTGCAATGGCGCGATCTCGGCTCACCGCAACCTCCGCCTCCTGGGTTCAGGTAATTCTCCTGCCTCAGCCTCCTGAGTAGCTGGGATTACAGGCACGTACCACCATGCCCAGCTAATTTTTTGTATTTTTAATAGAGACGGGGTTTCACCATGTTGACCAGGATGGTCTCGATCTCTTGACCTCGTGATCCACCCGCCTCGGCCTCCCAAAGTGCTGGGATTACAGGCTTGAGCCACCGCGCCTGGCCCTTCTTTTTTTTTTTTTTTAAACAAGACTGTGTCTCACTCTGTCGCCCAGGCTGGGATGCAGTGGCACAACCTCAGCTCACTGCAACCTCTGCTTCCTGGGTTCAAGCGATTCTCCTGCCTCAGCCTCCTGAGTAGCTGGGATTACAGGCGCCTGCCACCATGCTCAGCTAATTTTTGTATTTTTAGTAGAGACAGGGTTTCACCCTGTTGGCCAGGCTGATCTTGAACATCTGACCTCAAGTGATCCACTTGCCTGGGCCTCCCAAAGTACTGGGATTACAGGCATAAGACATTGCAACCAGCAAGGGCTTCTTAAATGTAACATGTGTTATCACCTGGGTATCTTGTTTAAAATGCAGACTTTGATTCCATTGATCCAGGGTGGGGCCTGTAAATATGCATTTCTAAGAAGCTCCTAGGTTATACTGATGTTACTGGACCACAGTCCACACTCTGACAAGCAAGGCTGCAGAAGGAGTAGTAAGAGGCTCTCTAAATCCAAAGACTACTTTTTATAAGAGCTGTTTCCAGCTCTCTCACCTTTCCTTCATCTTCACACTGGAGAGGATCTAGCTGACCCGTGATGTCCACAGCTTCTCTGAGACCGCCTGCCATTCCCCTAATTTGCTTTCCATTCCTTACAGGCATTTCAGACTATAATTACTCATGAGGAAAACATTTTTCATGTACTTCTCTATGTCAGGCAGTAGGGGGCAGTTTATACCTGGCTCTGCTAGTCTACCCTAAGTTACAGAGGTAAAAATATTAATAGAGCCTATTCTGACTCTGCCAAAAACACTGTGCTTTGAAATGCCCTCCCGGTCTACTTTTAAGCCATGTTCTCACCAAATCTTTCACTTTCACTTTCAATTCCTTTCTGGCCAAGCAACTCTGGGATAAGACAATGAAAACAGCAAGCTCCTATGCACATTGGTAGTGAGTTTGCTTAAGCTGAAATGAAATAGGTTCATGTTATCACACTGCATCTCCTAGTATCTGCACTGTACCCGGGACCTCTACCTGACATCCCAGGCCTGATTCACTTGCCAGAGGAAAGCAGCCATTAAGAAAAGACCCATAGCTATGGGTAGCCCAGTAAACCCAATTCTAAATGCAACGGAAGCAATTTTAAAAGTCTTATCACCTGCATTTCTTCCTGGGACTTGGGATCACTGTTCCTACCTGCAGGACCCACAGCCCTGGTTACTGGGATCCACTGGGTTGGTGAGAAGGATGGTTTCATCTGGAGAAGCTCTTTAGATTAAAATAAAATATTTGGAACAGCAGATTTCTTCCCCAATAGATGCAGGCTTTCCACTTGTAAGTTTTTAAAAAGGTGGTGGATGACTGCAGAAAGGACACCCAGGAGGAAACGAGGTTTGGATAATGACATGACAGGAATGCTTAGTTGGGCTGGCCCAGGAAAGACTCTTGCCCTATTCTGGGGTCTTCTTTTTTTGAGACGGAGTTTCACTCTTGTTGCCCAGGCTGGAGTGCAATGGCATGATCTCGGGTCATTGCAACCTCCACCTCCCAGGTTCAAGCAATTCCCCTGCCTCAGCCTCCCAAGTAGCTGGGAGCACAGGCATGTGCCACCACACCTGGCTAATTTTGTAGTTTTAGTAGAGAAAGGGTTTCACCATGCTGGCCAGGCTGGTCTCGAATTCCTGACCTCAGGTGATCAACCTGCCCTGGCCTCCCAAAGTGCTGGGATTAGAGGTGTGGGCCACTGTGTCTGGCTGGGTCTTTTCTTAAGAGGCTGAGAACCAAGCAGGTTACCGGAGCTCAGGCTGGGCCACCCGCTTTCTGGCTCTGGTTCATCTTCCTTCTGTCTTGTTAGTGAACTGCACAGTAGCCATGTGTTTCTTTTCGTTCTTAGGGAATATCCACAGAATTTAGGGTGGATGGGTGTCACTTTATTATAGATGTGCTTGGTTCTAATGGAAAATGTGAGATGATAAGGACTCTGTCAGTTAACTTTTTAATTTTAAAATAGTCACTTCCCAATATTGGCTTAGAGTGGAACATGAAGAAAACATGGTTAATGCTGGATTCAATTTAGCATTTTCAAAATTTTGGAATTAGCCATTAAATATAACATTTCATTAGGGACCACTTACCTGGGATGTCAATTATAATATGCTCAGATGTCAATTACAATATGTATTTTAATTTACAATAGTCGGCTGACTTAGGTCTATAAACTCAGAAAAGCCACTTGCAGTTGAATTTGACCTAAAGTAACTCCCCTCTTCCTGTTCTTATAACCAACCCTAAGTACCCAAGGTCACTTAGAGCTGGTTCTGCCACCTTCATAACTAGGAACTCCTGAGGGCTTTCCAGTAAGTTTCCCACAATGGTGAGGAGACAGTGGTAGTGAAAAGAAGCATTTCTAAGCTACATGGCCTGGTGAGGAGGCAGTCAGGGCCAACTGGGAGTGTTTACAGTTGATGCTCCAGACAGAATTTGAGACACAGAAAGCTTTTGGGTGGCCGCATGACTCTTAAAAGGAGTTAAAAAACTAATGTGTGTGTGTGTGTGTGTGTGTGTGTGAGAGAGAGAGAGAGACAGACACAGACACACCTGATTCTTACTCTTAGGAGACGGGATGTCAGTCAAACAAGAATATGAGGCCAGGGATTTTTATCTGTTGTGATGGGAGGGCAGTCTGGGTGTTATGTGAGGTCAAAGTAAAAGAATTAGGCTTACTTGAAACTCACTTTAGAGAAAGGTGTTTTATTGTTGTTTTAAAGGATGACTTTAAAGGGACTCCATGATGAGAATTTTGGGCGTCATTTTGTTGAGGCACAGAGTGAGTGGCTTGCGCTACACCAAGCAGGTGACGGGTGGCCCGCAGCAGGTGGGCACAGCTGAAGACTCCACAGACACATCTCCAAGTGGCATTATGACTCGCAACTTGCTGCTGCATGGGTGGCCACTCCAATGACAGCCTATTTCTCTGCATCTTAAGGTAAGAATTACATGCTGTGGTGGGATGTATGCATTTTAGGATTCAGAAGTGACAGAGAGTGAGGGTTTATTGTGCTACCTTACTTCCTGTCTCTCAGAACAGTAGCAATTCTATTACTCTTTGCCTCTTGATTTGATTCATGTGGGATATTTATATTCAGGAGGAAGGTAGTTGTGCTTTAGATGAATTTTATCTGTCAATAAAAGGCAATTTATATGACTGGATGGTCAATCACCCTATTTCCAGTTTTCCTTCATATTCAATTTAGCTTTTAAGTGGAACATTTTCAGCACATTCCTTCAAGAAGCCTCAGCATGTGGCTCTCATCGTGTTACTGGCTGTCTCCGGCAGCTCCCTCTGATTCCTGGATGAAGGCTGGCCTCCCTGCCTGCCACCCAAGGCTCTGTGCAGCCAGGCTCCCACCTGTCTTTCTAGCAATTTCTCCCACTGCTCCTGGTCTATACAGGCACATAGGACCATGCAAAGTGGTGGACTCATGTCCCCTCAGCACAGCCTGTACTTTCTTGCCCCTTTCTCTGGTTTGGTTTTTACTGCCCACCACACTCAAATGCCAGTTCCTGTGGGCCAGCCCCAAACATTACACACTGTGTGCCACACACTGTTCATATTTACTTACTCTCCATCTATAATGAGCCCGAGAGCTAAAATGTAGGGACTGCCATCCTTGTTATTTCCATCCTGGGGATAGCAGAGTTTGGGGATTTGTTGTTCTGGCATGAGCATGTCACCATTGCCTGGTAGATGTTAAGAAATATCACAAGAAAATACAAAAAAAGGCACTTAAAATATATATATATATATACATATATACACACACACACACACACACACACACACACCATGGAATACCTTTTATATGTTTGTGTGGAAATTATTATTGACAAGTCATTTGGGCTAGATGTTATGTTTTTTTGGTGACACTGAGTCAAGCTAGGGGAAAAAAGGCACCAGCAGACCT